TCACCTGCACCCCCAGCCTAGCTCCATGCCCCAGGGCCACCTGTGCCCCCATACCCCGGCCGGCTCCGCACCCCATGTCACCCGCACCCCCAGCCGGCTCCATGTCCCAGGGCACCCACTCCCCCAGCCCCGGCCGGCTCCACGCCCCCAGCAGGTCCCCAGGGTCGCTCTGCCACCTACAGCGCAGGTTGTGGGTCCAAGGCCCAGGTGGCAGCCCAGTGCCCACGCTCTGAGGGCTGAGCCAGCTCCCCCCAGTGCCACGGCCCCCAGGCAGGCGAGACGCAGGCTGGGGCAGGTGCACCCAGCAGTGCCCACGGGCGGGCGGATCACGGTGCCGCACCGGGGCCCTGGGAGGAGATCGTGTTCCAGGGAAACCGGGCAGCTACGGCTCCATTTCCTGCAATATACACCCAGCTTCCTGATCAGCCCAGCGTAAAAACAGGAGGTTGGGCGGGGTGGGGGGAGAGACAACAAACTCCCAGCTGTGACAGCCAGGCAGGGCCGGTTCCCAGCCCCCTGCGGCCGCTCCCCCCAGCTGCAGAGCCAGGGCAGGATGGGTGGGAAGGTTTGGCAGCTGGGCAGTTTCCTCTGCGCTCAGAGTGACAAACACCCCATGAAACAGCCTGTGCTGGAGGCTTTGCTACCCCCTCACACGAACCCCCCCCCCCGCCCCCATACAGGATTTTGGAAAGGCCACGACTAGAACAGGGTTCAGAAAAGTGCTAGAGAAGTTCCTGGAGGATAGGTCCATCAATGGCTACTAGCCAGGCTGGGCAGGGATGGGGTCCCTGGCCTGTTTGCCAGGAGCTGGGAATGGGCGACAGGGGATGGATCACTTGATTCCCTGCTCTGTTCATTCCCAGTGGGGCCCCTGGCACTGGCCGCGGTCGGCAAACAGGGCACTGGGCTGGATGGACCCTTGGTCTGACCCAGTCTGGCCGTTCTGATGTTCAAAAGGAACATGGGAGGGGGGAGGCCCCTAGAGCAGAGTGGAGCTGGGCCAAACGGTGAACAAGTCATCTTCATTGGCACCCCTGCTAGCCCAGCCCTGGCTCCCTTCCCTTCCCTTCCTCCCCCCAGATAGGCCAGTGTCCCCAGTCCTAACGCCCAGGCCCCCTGTGGGCTCCCTTCCCCCATCCCTCGGCTGCTACCCCTCAATCCCAACCTACAGCCCCCCTAAGCTCAGTGACAGAGTGCCTGCTCCCCAGCTCAGCCCCAGCTGCCGCTGCCGCCCCGCCTGGGCCCCCTGCTGCCCCCAGAACCCAGCAGTGACTCTGCCTGTGGGCACAGTGGGGGGGAGGGGGCAGGGCAAATGGGCCCCTGAAAGCCAGGCACCCACCCAGCAGCTCAGCCCTCACCTTTGCCCCGGCTCTTTTCCCACAGCCGCCCCCGGGCTGGGGGGGGGGGTCAGACAGGGTGCAGGACCTTCCCTGATGGGGGGGAGGAAGTTGTACATGCATATTCACACAC